TGGTTGGTGGTAGTTGTCTAGAGAACCAGAAATTTGGATAATGGTATTGTTTAATTTTAAGAAATTTTAAGAGTAAAAGCTAGAGGGAGGCTTTCGTTTGAAAAGCATCATTATTTTGTATTTTTTTTGATATTTCTAGTAAGATTTATAGATAAAAGAATATTTATATAGATTTGAAAATAAACATTTATTATGTAATTAAAATGTCTTTGATAAAATTTGTTAAAAAAATTTTTAAAAAAAATAATAAAATTTATAATGAAAATGAAACAAGAGAGGATTGGCCGTCCTGGTCAATCTCCACAGTAAATGAAAAAATTTGTATTAATCCATTATATATAGAAATTGAACAAGAAAGTCAATTATTGTCATCATTGTTAATTGATAAATTTAAAAATGAAAATATGATATTCTTTATCAAATATAAATCATTTAAAAAATATTTAATTGAAAACCGTATTATTGAAGCAAATCTTAGGATTAATGAAAATACAAAAAATAAAAGATTAATAACAATATAAGGATATGAATATAGTATTAAAAATCACACACACGATTTAGATGAATAGCACTTGGTAAGATATGCGGAAGATTTAGAAGTTTGGATTGAAAAGGTTAATGAGATTTGTAAAGAATATTTTGTTAAATATATTTGGACTTATTCAGATTTAGGAGAGTATACAAGAGAATATTTGTTGTACGATTGCGATTAATTTTATTTATTATTTATCTATTATTTACTGTTTTATTTATTTTTTATTTATTTTTTATTAATAATATATATTAATCAAAATACATGTGAATAAATTTTATTGTATATTTTATGAGAAACAAAGAATTAGAAATTTAAAATTTTGCTTGTTCTTGTTGTGTTAACGCAACTGCAATATACATTGTATGTCTTCCTTGAGCAATTAGTTTTTTGGTATTTTTGTTATATATTTTTACATCGGTATATGCCATTGCTTTACCAAATTTTATACATTCTGAATTTATTAATAAAATGTCTCCTTCTTTAGCAGAATTGATGAATGAGACATTTATATCTGTACTAACTCCTGCAGAGGATAACATTCCTTTTGAGGCTATCGCCAATGATCCAGAGATATTGATTAACATTCCGATCATTCCACCATTAATCACTTTCAAATGACTTAAATGATTTGGTAAAACAATTATTTCGCTATTTACAATACTATTTGTCGCATTTATTATTTTCATCTATATTAAATTTAATTATTATTAATAAAAGAATAGAATATAATTTAACAAAAAAAAAAATACAAACATTTTTTACTGAAGGATCGAATTCATCAAAATACTTATGAAAATATTTTCGAATTGATTTTGTCATATTGTCCATTGATTTGATGCTCTTTATTAATTTGTTTTATTATAAAAGTAGTAAGATTTTAGATTCGAAATATTAACGAAATGGCCGGATTGATAAGCATTAAAGATGTTTTTGAAATTGATAAAGAAAAATTATCTTTTATCACTGAGGATGATGGAAAATATGCTTGGCATTATATAACTTTATTTTATAATAACAAACCTTGTTCTTTGGATGGTTTTAAATTATACGATGATGATAGTTATGAATATCCCAGAATTAAAAACGATAATCTTTTTTATTTAAAACAAATTCGAATCTTTATTTTAAAGATGATTTAATATACAAAATTTGTTACAATGAATATAAATTAACTGATTTTCATAAAAATAAAAAATATGTATTTATTTAACTTTGAATGATCATATTCTAAATTTAAGTGATTTTAAATGTAAATTTATTAACGATGAAGTTTATCAAACAATTGATATCGATAAATCTAAATTAGACATTACTTTTTCTGATAACAGAAAATTTGAGAAAATTAAATCAGAAAATGATGGTATTAGAGATTATTATAAATTAAAAGATGATGTTGGTTATTATTTTATTCTATATAAAAATAATGTAATTAAACATATTGGCACTTATTATTATTTTGATTATTATAATGTGGAAGAAGATAATATTTCTGAAAAGATTTTTATTAAAAGTGTATAATTATGTATTGAATTATTTATTTATTACTAATTATTGTATGAATAAATATTAAGCAATATTTTAAGAAGAAAAAATAATGTCAAAATTTCCAAAATACAAATCATTGATAGATATTTTTTTAAATGAGAGTAAATCCATCGAGTTTTTATTTAATGAAAATATCTTAGAAAAACCAACAAGTTGTTCAAAATGTAATAAAAGAAATTTTTTTCATAAAGATAAAAGATTTCAATGTAAAAACAAACGATGTCGAAGATCTGTTTCGATATTCAAAAATTCATTTTTTTCTAATAATCATTTAAAATGTGATAATACTTTGTATATCGCATATCTTTCGTTAGCAAAAGTTTCTACTAGTTCGATATTGAAGATGACAAGTCACTCACCTAACACGATAACTGATTATTTAGATTTTTTTCGAGAGTTGGTAATTGATACATTAAAAGATGAACCGAATAAGATAGATGGTAAGGACGTGATAGTGCAAGTTAATGAATCTAAATTCAGTAGACGTAAATATAATCGTGGACGAAGAATGAATGGTGTTTGGGTTATCGAAGGGGTTAAAATTACGGATGAAAAGTGATATTTTTTGATAACAATTGAAAAAAGAGATAGCGAAACTATTCAAAAAATTTTAAACGAATACATCGAACTAGAATCGATACTTTATACTGATTGTTGGAGAGGGTATAATGGTATTGAGGATGGTTAAATGTGCAGTATAAAATGGTAAATCATTCAAAGCATTTTACAGATCCGGTTACAGGTGTGAATACAAACACTATCGAAGGTATTTGGTATAGTGTGAAATTACAAATCGCATCACGTCATAGATGTAATGATTTAATAAAAAAACATCTCTTTGAATATATCTGGCATAGGAAAAACAAAAATAATTTATGAGAAGCATTTTTGGAT